CTAAGCAAGAGAAAAGCTTTGCCGTTGGTCTTCGCTTAGGCGCTAATCTGTTAAGCAATTTGTTGGATTTTGGTAATCAATGATGCCTTGGCAATATGTAATCCAATCAAATACATCCCTTGCATATGAGTCCGTTGGTAATTGCCAAGTAATATCTTCTTGTACAATGTTTGTAAATGTTTGGAAAGGATGTCGTTTTTGATACTGATGACCATAAAGGGCGTTTGTTTGTTTCAGCACGAGGGTACATCTGCCTTTCGCGCGTTACCTAGAAATAAAACATTGGAATCCAGTAAATCTTGATGGAAATACAATGCAACAAATGATGGATTTCAACTTGAAAAAGCTAATCAATTTTCAGCATTCATTAGAAACCCAAAAGGAAGCTCCCGCTAGTCATCTTCGCTATAAGCATCACGGTGTAAAACATTCTTCTCAGGCTGCGTGGCCACTTTTGTAACAGGATTAAATTAGGAGGATCCTTAGACAGTAAATATAAAAATATTATTAGAGGTTCCAAGTATCGGTCCATTGCGGAGCACTGAGGTGGGAATATGCAATGTAGTAACTTGAACATTTGAAATGATGACAGATATCTACTGGAAAATTAATTTTCAGTCGAATACTTCACTTGGAAATATTCCCAGAAAGGGACATGTCATTTTTCAATAGTCCCGACGGGTTTTAGAGCTCGGTTATATTTTTTGAATTCATGGTCGCTCTAGCGCAAAAATAAAAAGGTCATTCCCATCCTCGACGAAATCACCCACAATCTTAAATCCACACTTTTCTAGGACACGGCAACTCCCATGGTTCTTCTTTTCACAAAGAGCAAACGCCTTCTCGACCTCTGCCGAAGCATCTTCACCGTCAATTGTTCGACGCGCCAGATTCCACCACATCTTTAACATCAATTGCAAAGCCTCTGTCGCATACCCTTTCCCCCAAGAAGATGGATGCACTGCATAACCAATCTCAGGGAAGGGATCTACTTGATTGATGCTGAGGGATCCAACGACTCGCTCCTCTGTTTCTGGGATTGACTTGTCCACCATGGCATAGTTAAATGAACGTCCGATGATATCGGACGGACCACTTGTGAAGATCTTGGTTGCCATCCATTCACGAGTTTCTTCAATTGATTTGAATGGTGTTTTAGGGTGGCTGGTAAAGTTAGCATTGTGGACAGTCCTCATCAATACCTATTTAGGTAGGTGATGATCTTTACTAACTTCATTTCTGCGACTTCGGGCCGGGAACGAATGGCGAACAATGCGGCGGCATCGGCGTCGGTAATTGGCCGAAGAAGGAGCCGATCGCTCTCAATTGAGGGCCCTGGTGATGGGACGATCACGTAGGTGGGTTGTTCAGGTAGGCTCATGTTGAAGGTATTCTATTTCTTTATATTTCGGTGAATATTCGTGAAGATGAAGATCGTAAAGAATAAGTAGGAAAATTGGACGGCAGCGCTAAGCCAGTCCCGGAGCCCGATTGACTCACAAATCAAGGTCTTTGTATCGGCATTCCGAATACTGGGTGGGTCACAGTATATGTGTTCCTTTCCAATGTTTAACCTTTTATACTTTTTTACAAAGATTCCCAATAATGGCAGCTTGAAGCAAAGCAGAACTTTTTATTTTTAAGGTAGTCGCGACAATATGTTTTCGATGCCCAAAACCGGGCCCCCGCATCGCCGGTAGCCAGTGTGCCCTTAAATCAGCAGAGCTAGTATCTGGTCTCAAGGCACTCTCATTGACCGGCCCGGTTCGACATCAGGTTCACGGTGAAAGCAGAACATGTCACAGGCTTTGATTTGCTAACAGTATGCAAATCATGACCATAAAATATTGAGTTTCCCGAGCCCACGCTTCGGCCTAGGTTCCGGCTCGGGATTTTTGTGCCAGCTATCGATGAAAGGCCGAATGGGAATTGCCGCCAGCGGGATGATCTTCGTCTTCGCCCAGAATTTGTAGGCAAAATACACGATAAGGATGAACGGCAGGTTGAAATATGTCGAAACAAAAGTTGCAGTATTCCAATGACCGCGCATAAATGTTGTAAACCCTCCAGTGAAGAAAAGAACAATGTATATGACCAAGGAGATCCAAGTTATGTATGGCTGAAAAGGGGCTGCCCATGGGAGCTCCTCGAAGCGATCAATTCCCTGCGTCTTGCATCCGTAGTAGAATCTGAGATAGACAATGCAGATGCAGATCAAGTTCACTAGAGTCGAGATGGAGACAAGATTTTGTAGCCATGTGAATGCCGTACTGGCCGATTCGGATAGAGTCATGTATCCAAGTGCCATGAAAACTCCATAAAGCGCGACAGCCACCCAAGGGATACCAAAGCGGTTGATGCGTTTGAAGACAGCAGGGGCGTGACCCTGGGTTGCCATACCGTACAGGATTCTGGAACCACCCAGGATATTGCTGTTCCCAGAGGACCATGCTGAGGTGAGAACAACTGCATTGACAATTGAGGGAACCACCTTAATACCGGCACGGCGGGCTGCTATAACGAAAGGCGACTGCGAGGCTGTTCCTGATGAACCCAGAAGATTTGGATCGGCAGACGAAACAATCAGACCGACCATGAAGATTGTGACCACATAGAACATCAAGATGCGGATGAAGATACGTCTGGCGGCCATGGGGATAGCTTGACGAGGGTTTCGAGTCTCGGCTGCTGCAAGAGTGAAGTTTTCGATACCAGAGTAGGCGAAGAGAGCGTTGTCGAAAGTTTTCCAAAATCCTAAAAACCGGCCAAGGGACCCGCCCACTCCCAAGTACTGGACGAAGGGGCCATAAGGGGCTTTCCAGTAGGCAAATCCAATGGACTCGCCATTCGGGCCTCCGCCGCAGGTAATCACCTATCAAAATAAATTAGCACGAAAAGTAAAAGCGTTCCGGGCCTAAAGGGGGCAATCACCAGAGCCATTATATTTATACCGATAATGAGCATGATCTTGAGAATAGAAAAACCAAACTCAAGCTCTCCGTATACGCGAACAAAGACAAACGCGGTAGAAAGCATGAGAAATCCAAGCACGGTGATCCATATTGCGTTGTTGACAGTGATCCAGAATTCAATGATCACAGCCGCAGCGGCAATTTCTGACGGGATGGACACAGCGTAGGAGTATACTTGGTTCCACCCGTTGGCGAACGCTAGTGCGGGGTCACAGAAGATCTCTGCGTATCGAATAACACCACCATTTAGAGGTGCCAGGGCTCCCATCTCACCGACAGCAAAAACGACACTCGAAACAGTAGCACCGATGATTGTATATGCCAAGAACGCACCCAATGGTCCAGCTTCCACAATGGCACGGCCCGAACTGAGGAAAATACCCGTCCCCACCGTACCGGCGAGAGCAATCATCTGGATGTGTCGCTGATGGAGACCCTGTCTGAACTCGTGAACCTCCTTGAGCTGGCCCGCAGAATCCTCTATATCGTTATTTTCTCTCATTTCGTCGTCTTCGTAGTTTGGAACTTTTGAGTTGGACACAATTGGGGTATTAATGCCATTGGCGTCCTTCAAAAGATGGGTCGTTATAACAGGTGACATTGGAAACCCCGTGGCGTGATACAAAGACTTTGAAAAGGAAAAAACCAAAGATATGATAACATTATTATTGCTCGTACTTTTACACACAACTAATTCTTCTTTCAAATGCGCAGACAGTGGCCCCCGGGTATAGTTGGACAATAACAGCTACTTATAAAAGGCGAATTTGCAATCCACATTTTGCTGTTGGCTACTGAACCGGGTCTCTTATTAAAACTCGGCTTTCGCGTAAAACGAAAAAAAGGAAAGAAAAAAGAAACTTTTCAGCGGGGGTTAAATAGGGCATCTATTTACTCCCGGGGTCCTCATCTGCTGCCCAGATGTGGAGCATCTCCCGCAAGAGTGGGCCACACTTTGTCAAATTTGGATTGATCCGGGACTATCTCGAGATGGATACAGTGGTGTGGTAGTGAAGCTTGGAAGCTGGACCGCTTCAGCCGCGATGGGCATCTTATATTGCAATATAGTCCGGGATGGGCGGTTTGGCGAGAATGTAAAACCAAAATAGAAAAAAAATTACAGTCTAGATTTTTCCATTCTCGGAGATGGAGGATTTTATCCAGTGTAGCGAGTTATTATTATTTCACGGTTAGTCCTAAGTCTTGCGGACAAGAAACTTATCATTGCACCCACCGTAGGAGCCAAAGGTTCCAAGATTGATGTAGCCATACCATACATGTGGCATTTTATCCCAGGATTTTCTCCCTTCTATAAAGACGATTTGTTTCTCTATTCCTTTGGTCTTCTAATGTTGCAAACAATGATTGCATATCAGATGCCAAAGTCGGTCTTTTCCGACCCTTTGGGGTATACCACTATATATGAGTTCTTTCACTTCATCTCACCTTATTCATTGTTAGATTTTCTCTTTGTTTACTTTCATTCCTTTATTTTTTAAGGGTTTCGCCAACCTGTACTTTACCTCTCTTTTTCTATTAGCTATCACACATCTAGTGACATATTACTGTTCAGTTATATTCCATACATATATATATAGATATCATTTTTTATACGTAATGAAAAGAGAATCAAATGGATTTCATTCGGAAGGGCAGCCAAGCTCGAGATAGACCAAGGGTTGTGAATTCTCCAAAATTTTGTATTCTGGCAGCCAATGCCCGTACTGGGCAAGTGTTCCCTCTTTTTCCTCGCTGCACTTTCAACTTCCTACAATCCCACAACCTCATCCATCCCTCATTTCCAACCCATCTTCCTCGTTCAAACAAACTCTTTTACTTACAACTCACCGCGCCACAACGCTGTGCCCTCCATTATGTAACTCGTACTTGCTGACTACCCCACCATGAACGAAGATAGAAAGCCTCAATTTCTCCTCTGCCCCTACTAAATCCCACTAACCTTAATATGCGCACAGAAGCTAGAGGCTAGAGTCCCCAGTGCCGTACCAAGTACTCCCCATTGCAAGAATGGCCAGCCTCGGTTACAACGACAGCACCGCATGTCTGATCATGGGGCAGATAGTCGAACACCGGCCGCTTCGGTTGGCTTCCGACACAAAAGAGCCGGCTCAGGCCTACCAGTTGCGCAATCTAATGGCTCACCGAAGTATGGCACCGGTCTGGGATAAAAGCATGCACGGACAGATAGACGTCTAAGTTTTCATTGTCTTTAAAATCCATACACCGATTGTGGGAATGGCGTGGTTACCATGAGACTTCTAGAATTTTTTGTTTCCACATAGTAGTTTTTGACCTTTTACGTCAAGAACAAGGGCAAGAACAAGATCGGGGATTTCTTTTTCCTTGCCCTTAGCCCCCTTGGCCTTCTTCCTAGGCATTTTAGCGGTATCGGGAGTTTCTAGAGCCTTACGCTTCGGTGGAACATTCTGAAAAGTGATAGAAGTATTGCCATCACCGTCACCATCACCACCATCCTTATGCCTCCTTCTTATTAACCCGCAACGTCTCATTCGGTCCGATATAAGACCGTACTTTCAATGAATCTCCGCTCGAATGGCTTGCAGTCTATCGCATATATGATGAACAAAGGGTCACGGATATTTGGGGGCGTTTCCGGGTAATTTATAAACGCGTTAATGACGGTTATAATGTGTTCCACAAGGCCATGATTGGAAAAAGGTTAGTTGTGGTTGAGTGATACAACGCAGGATGCTATATTTTATCCGTATTGTTGACCTCGGGTTCTTGCTTCTCACAATCGTCCGGTAGCTCTTGGTGCTTAGTCTCCATGGCGTAATTGTCCGGGTTGCGCAGTAGTACGCTCGTATGGAATTAAGCGCCACAAGCTCATGTGGTCATATCCTAAAATTTTCGATCCCACCATATCCTCTCCTAAGTTATCCAGTCCAATCCCTGAATTACGCTATCATCGTATAATTACACTTAACGGCTTGTTGCTGAGGTCAGAATGGTCGCTTCAATAAGCAATTGAAAGTGGTGTTGTGGGATTCTGTTCGAACACTCCAATATCGTCCGGCGATAACTGATTTACCCGTTGGGTTGATACCTAGGTACATTTATTTGACATTAATCAAGATAATACACAAGATTTCCCAGTCCAACCACCCGGTGAACCTTGTGTCTAATAGATAACCAAGATATGACCAAGTAGATCCTTCAGCCCAAGTCTCCCCGGACCCGGAGAATGCACTTCATTTCAAACTAAGGGCATCAACACCGTCGTACGGGATTCCAAAGCTGTCGAGCAGGTTTGTTGCAGCGGTTTCACCCGACTTGTAAGCACCATGCACGCAACCATTACCAACAATAGTACAATGCTCACCGGCGAACTGCAAGCGACTGGCTTTATGGTTTTCCAACGCATCAACCAGCAGCTGCGGCTCATCTCCAACCTTGTCGGCGGAGTAACTCCCATACCCAGCCAGCGGGTCCTGGGTCCAATGTGTAGTTTCAACATTGATCAGACGGGGCAAAGCCTTGTAGGGTTCTGTACGGAATAGTTTGAAAAGCGGTTCAAAAAATAGATATATCTCTTTCGGATCTTGCATGTTCTCGATGCGTTGCGTCAGGGGCTCCGCAATCTGTACGCACAACTCTTTGCTGCCTGTCATAATCCATAGGTTGATTGTCACGGTGGCGTAGTTGAGGATATTATCCTTCTCTCCGATAGAGAATATGCTGGGGGTGGACTGCACGGATGACCCGGACGAAGTATCCGATTCATCTGGCGGAGATGGGTAGAAGACGAACTGGTCATTCTCCTTTGACCAGAAAACATCGGCGAATTCAAAAAACACTTTGCCCAAGGCGCCGTAGCTAAACTTGGACATGCCCTCTTGAATGTCACTCGGCAAGGGCGGGTTGAATGAGATGAGGTTGTGGTGATAGACGCCCAGTGGGCTAGTCATGATAACTGCATCTCCGCCAATGAACCCGATTTCTCCAGCAGCATCCTTGTACCGGATTCGAGCTGGTGCGGTCCCGTCTTCGTTCCACTCCACGTCCTCGACATAGTGGTTGAGTCTGATGATGCTCGGATCGCTTTGGAGAGACTCCGCAGTCCAGTTCACGATCCGATCATAGCCGCCCTTCATATATAGATTGCGCTCGGTAATGAAGTAAGAGAGATGTTTGGACGATGCTTGATCCGTACTAGTGCCGATCCACAATTCTACCTCGCGGACAGCCTGCGGAGCCCAATCACGCTCATCTTCGGTGATGAGCTGGTGTTGGAGGACGAACTCTTTCGCGAATTCGTGGACAGGACGGTCCTCGGCCTCCGGGTTAGTTTCGTAAAACCACTCGCAGTAATCCGCGAACTCGTCTGCGACTTTCTTAGCTTTGAACTGGGATCCAGTTCGGCCTTCTCTGGTGAAGTACAGAGGAACGCCATCGTCATAATAATATGGGATAGATAGCTGGGGAATGAGTTTCACCAGGATGTTCTGGGAAGTTTCATGCATCCAAGCGGCGCCTATTGACTATCAGCACAATCTCGTTTTACTCGCACCACCCCTCCCCCCTATTCCGATCTCTGTTTCAGGTTCGTATCACTATCTTACCAATATCTCGGACATGGTCACCCTTTCGGCTGGTTAAGATTCTTCCACCAATACGATCGCGTGCTTCTAATACCACCACCTCACAACCATGGCGGTGCAGGACAGCCGCGGCATGCAGTCCAGAAACTCCAGCGCCCACCACAATCACCTTCTTGCGCTCCGACCTCGCTGCGTGTGTTCCCTCGATCAACTCCTTTGGAGCCACATCGAACGCAACCAGGTCGGAGCAACAATTACTAGGTTTTATGGGATTAATGCCCGTGATGGGAGAAGAAAGGTGAAAAGATTGAGCCATTCTGAGTTGACAAGTTGACATTCGATGTTGAAGTTATTGAGCAAACAAGGAGCAAAAAAAACAAAGATCACGTTGAACAGAAGTTGAGGGGTTTAGGTTGTGTTATCGCAGTGCATAGTGGCCATGGGGGCCTTTGGTCTTATTGGCTTTTATTGCCAGCAGAAAATTGGCTATCTACGTAGTTTTCTAGGTTATTATGGGGTAATGATTAATCGGATAAGCATTTCTAGTCACATGGATATGCAGATCCATATTAGATATGGAAAAGTACTTTTCTATATAGGAATTATGAATTACTTGCACATTTATGAACTTCTCATATGAAATTTCAAGAGGATATTGAGAAGACAACAAAATAGTGGAATAATAACATTATCCAAGTCCTATCAGATTAAATATAGATGCCACATAAATGACCGACTACCTTTAAACTATAAAGTCTTGTCATCAGGTTGATACATATAACATTAATTTAGTATAAAAATAAATTTGCTAAGGGCGGAGATCCAAGCGGTGAATCTTCTACGCCAATAGAATCAAAGCCCCAAGTGGTCGCTATGCAGGGCGATTGGCTGTGAGAGGAAACCTTGGAGCGAATCTACAAATGTATTCTAAGGTATTTGTTGACATCGTTAGATTCCTCACGGAGTAGGAAACGATTTTATCGTCGTTCCCCTTACTGCTTCATCTCCGCCAAATCTGATCAAACCCACATCCCGCCCGCATATACCCGTATCGACCAGCAAATCACGAGTGAGCTTTGGCGCGGTTGGCCGGGATTGGCCACGTGAGTCCTAAATAACGTCCAATCAGACCAACGATGTAGATAACGTCCCGGGTCGTGGCCTTAAGAGTCCACCGATGGGTTTAACAATGACAACTTTGCAGAACGGATCCCAGGCTAGAGTTACGGTTTGTTTCAGAGATAGCGAGAAGCAGAAAAAAGACCCGAAAGCAAATTCTTTGTTCAGTCTAAGTCAGTGAAATTCTGGAAAAGAAGAAAAAGAGAAGAGAGAAAGGTAAGGAGTAAACAACATTCCAATCCATAGGGGGGCATGTGACTCGAGACTACTTTCCCGCCAAGGCAGCTGCCTCCCAATCAGTCACATACCCCAAGCATTTCTAAGGTTACTCCTGCACCAATACAACCAATGCATTCCAAGTTTGCCTTGGCGGACTGCCCAGGTGATTCTACACTGTGACGCAAGGACACAGCTCTAAAAAGCATCCATGGATGTTTCTTATACCTCTCAGTGAGAGGTACCACTTTGGAAATCAAAAGCGAGTTATCACGGTTTAATATTCCTGTCCCTTCTACCCTTCTATCGAGTGGAAATAAGACGACCTTCCTCTTCTAAATCTTCCATCTCTAGTTCCCCACACGGTATCGCATTTCTTACAGTGTAGTATCACCTCAGAGGTTGTATCAGAACAGTATCGACTAATAAAAGACGTGATAAGCCCGTAAACACCAGATCGTTTAATGTCGGAGAATGATATGGTTAAAACACAGGTCCCAATATACATGTAGATATACATGGACCTATCTAGGTAGGCCTAGCTTGAGGGAGTGGAAAGATACGCGGTGTGTTCTCTCGCCCAACTACCGCCATCTGTTGAACCTATAAACAAAGGCTTAGTGTTGAGATCTCTCATTGGTCACATGTTGTTTTCCTATATTTATAGTAGTCTAGTTCCTACCTTTCCTCTAGTATAAGTATCATCATCCACAATACATTTAGTTACATTGTGCTGCTTTCATAATCTCATCTACTCTGTAGACTTCAACACTACGAAAACTCAACGTATCTCATCAATTGGATGCTTCTGGCGATGGAATAAGACCGCATGGATGCGCGCCGACCTTATGCAAGAATTACTTCGCTCGTTCTATAGGCATATTGGCACACAACTACGAGTTGTTCTATTACTCGATAACTTTAGTGCTCATCTCTCTGGGCTTGAGAACACGCCGCCGCCGTCTAATATCCAAGTCGTTTTTTTGCCCTCAAATTCGAACTCGATTTACCAGCCATTAGACCAAGGTATTATCTGACACCTTAAACACCATTATCGGAATAAATGGATGACCTGGATGATCAATATGATGGACCGGGGCGTTGACCCTACGCAGAGAATGAGCCTGTATTACACACTACATTGGATCACCCAGACCTGGAGACGTGGCGTTCTCGATGAGACTATTCAGAAGAGCTTTATTAAAAGCACGCTCATTAGTCTTAGCACTAATGAGATAGATGTATCTCAATCTGAGGACCTCCAACTAGGTGATTTATACATACAGATAACCGACCGGCTTCCTAGTACAAAGGTGATGGAATTTGAAAAATTTGAAAAATTGTTTTTAAATTTACTAAATATGAACTTTCTAATGATACTGAAATCATTTCCCCCGGCATGTTGTGCTGCTCCAGCTGCTACCCCCATTTTGCCCGATGTGTAAGCTACAGTCAGACTGGGATATGGCCCCCCCTAGGCCATAAATAGGAGCCGAGGTTTTTATTATGGTCTAGTGGTAAAATAGGCTGTATTTTTCCCACAGCTACTTTTGATCTCTTGCGACGTTTTTGACGGGGTGAGCGGGAGCACGCGCGGTGGGCCAATAAGCGTGCGTACAATTCCATTGAGCCCCTGAGTGAGATTGACAATAGAGTATAATGAGAGGCTTTCACAAGAGCTGGTTGGAGGTAACTGGCCTCAACGTTCCGCCTGCAATCCTGACACTCTGTCACCCATTAGATTTTCTCTTCAATCTCAACTTGCGTCGTGGTCGTCTCGCCGAACTTGCGGAGTGGGACACCTCTGGCGAAAAGTTCGTCTATCTCTTCGAGCGACCTGCCCTTGCATTCTGGAACGTAGAAGTAAGAGAATACGATGGCGAGAACGGCGAAGGACCCAAATATAAATCCAACCTTGGAGCCCAGGTTGGCATACGGGGCGTAAAGCAGATAAGGAATGCAGAACGAGATGACAAACTGCGCCAGGATGTTGAACGCGGAGCTAAAAGAGAAGGTGACGTCCCTAAGCCGGGTAGAGGGGATTTCGGCCGCGACAACGTGTGAGACGGGTGCCCAGCCCAAACAGAAGCCAACGCCGAATATGGTCGTCATGACTGCAATCGCAACTCGGATCGGGTAGCCGGGATTGACGATAGTTCCTAAGCCACCCATAGTGAAGAGAGCCGCTGCTTGGATCACTGCGCCAACAAGTAAAAGTGGTCTGCATCAATAGGAGGTTAGTCACTGTGGCCACAATAACAATTCACTCTGTGCCAAAGAAAGAAATTTTTATTTCTCTCCTTGTATATTCTTAACCCTAACCCTAACCCTTTTTTCTCCAACGTAGCTAGGTGTGTGCGCGTGTTTTGTGAGAGGGAGGAAGGGGCTAAAATTGGAGGCATACCTGCGGCCAACTCGGTCGATCAGCAACTGCGACAAGAGTGTGAACACGGCATTAACCGCAGAGTTGATAGTGGTCATGGTGAATGCGTTCACTCCGTTCAAACCAGACATGAAGACTGCTCCGTAAATGGTGACGAAAATATTGCCCGTCAATTGCAGGAATAAGTTGACTCCCACGGAGAGCAAGGTGCGCTTGAAATTCGCTAGCAGGATGATTAGCACGACGATGCGACTGACAAGTCAACCAGCAACTGCATAAAAGATAGCTGGGTAGCTATGACTGTGATGTTTTGTCTCGTAGACTGAGTAACTCACTGCCTCGGAAAAGCTCGACAAACCCTCCTTTCTCAACTATCGTTACTGAAGTCGCAGCTTCCAAATCCTGGTATTCTTTTTCGATCTCTTCGTCAGAGAAGGCACCTCTTCGTAGACGGACAAGACACAGGTATGCATCCTCGCGGCGACCCTTGAGCAAAAGCCAGCGGGGCGACTGTGGAAAATGATTAGCACTGGAACATCTAAGATGGAGCGTGTTCGGCACCGCAGACTACAGCAGGGGAGGATCCAGCCGTACCTCGTCGGTAAACCAGACACCACAGGCAACGAGTGTTGGCACGATAAAGAACAAGTAAAATGGGATGCGCCAAGAATCGTGGCCTTGGATATCACTGGTGCCACGGCAGACCACTGCCATGATGACACTGCCAATCTGTTCCCATGCCTATTAGCAAGCGAAGACGGGCGACTGACCGCAGATTAAAGCGGATGAAACTCGTCAACTATCTGCTTTCTAGCATTCCGACTTACCAATATGCCAAATTGGTACGTGCCCACGACGAATCCTCGAATGTGCTTCGGCACCAACTCGGACTGGAGGACTGGGATCACTGCCAGTTCCATTCCCACATATACGTATGCGATGACGCGCCCGGCGAGTATCTCCTCCCTACGCTCGGCCGTGACAATGATGATGGCGGCAGCAATGGCCCAAATACACATAACGAATATGGAAACTCGTCGCCCGAACCGACGACTAATGTAGCAGCCGGACACCAAGCCAAACGCAAAGCCGATATAGTTCAAGCTATTGAGTAGCGAGAGGAAGTACGACTCAAAGGCGTAGGTTCCGGTGGTCGGGTTCCTGGTCCCAAACTTCTGGACGAAGAAGGGCATGGCCTGAGTTGTCGAAAAGGCTTTCAGATCCATTCCAAAGTTCATCTGCGAGAGGGCCAGCAGCCCGCACGAGAAAAGAAGGCGGCCGTTGAAGGCGCTCGTGATACGGCGGAAGCCGCTCGTTGGACGAACTGGCGTAGTTTGCTCCATTGTTCTAACTCTAGGGTGGTGGGAGTTAATGATAACTTGGGCCAGCTGTATAAATGTCGCAGCAGCCTCGCAGTACTTGCTCTCAGCGATGTCTCAGCACCCGCTCTGTCCACGTCAGAGGATCAATTCATATTATATAGAAAAAGCCCAAAAGGCCATGGAAGTCGTACATTGAGGCGCGCGTTGTGTGATTTTAGACGCAATCGGCACTGATTTGCCTGCAATCCATTGCCCTTGCGATGATGCTCTACGGTCGCCCCACATCCTGAGCACGCAATCCGCTAGGAAGGGAGCTCTGGCGTAGCCCAGCCGATCAACAAGGAGAAATCAGACGCCACAGATCTTGGTCGAAAAGCACTATCGCAGATTCGACTCAGTACTCAGCCTTGCGGAAAGCGATTTCGATTTCGGGGTAGTATTCGCCCCATCGTTGTCTCGAAAAGCTGGCGCAGGACGTCGAATACGGCTTCAGGGTTGGAGGTAATAATGATGATTGGAAGAGCGTAGCTGGCGGGTGGTGTCTGTCCCGAAACATTGATCGATTGCGCCCACGCTCAATGCCAATTGATCGATAGGATAGGTTCATCGGTTATTAGATAGGATTCTATCCTAATGGGTTAAATTGCTAAGGGGTCGACAGAAGCACCGGGGAGCACCGGGGAGCACCGTGGAGCACTGGGGAGCACTGGGGAGCACTGGGAAGCACCGGGGAGCACCGGGGAGCACCGGAGAGCAATTTCATGCTGTGGATTCCGTTGCGTGCTCGAGTGGTGCGGGGACGCTAGCCCAAGGATGCTTTGTCGCCCTGAGCCTCACCATTGGGACTAATAATGGCAATAGGCCTATGCCTATACCTAGCTATTATTATTATTTTTTTCGATGAATGGAAGGCTCCTAAGAAAATCAAAGCACCCGTCAACACTAAAGCTGAGACGCGCATCCGTTACGCAAACGTCAGGATGTCCCAAACACAGGCTTCAAGGCCTAACTTCCTCATCATCGTCGCCGATGATCTCGGGTACAGCGACACTGGGCCCTTTGGCTCGGAAATAGAGACTCCGGTCCTCGATAGACTAGCCAGCTCTGGTGTGCGACTGACAAACTTTCACACGGCATCGGCGTGTTCGCCGACGAGGTCTATGCTGTTCTCTGGCACCGATAACCACATAGCCGGCCTCGGTCAGATGGCAGAATTTATGAAAGACAACCGCTACGATGGTAAACCAGGATACGAAGGATATCTGAACTTCCGAGTGGCAGCGCTCTCAGAAGTGCTCCAAGACGCCGGCTATAGCACATTCATGTCCGGCAAGTGGTATGCAAGCTCAATCATCTCGTAGGCTATTCATTCTGGCTGGTCCCCACCATCTAACATGGCGAGTCACTCCAGGCACCTGGGTTTAACAAAAGAAACGGCACCTTGCTCCCGAGGGTTCGACGAGGCCTACGCGTTCCTCTACGGCTGTGGCAATCACTTCAATCACGAGCCGCAGCTGGATGACCCTGCAGCCGACCAGTTTGGACCGATGTCCAGCGGCAATTTTTGGATGGAGGGCGACCGGTTTCTCGACCGCCAATGTGACATCCCAGATGACTTTTACTCTAGTACGTCCTTTGCCGACAAACTAGTGGAATATCTCGACAACCGGACGGACAGGGCGAAACCTTGGCTGGCTTATCTCCCTTTTACCGCCCCGCATTGGCCCCTCCATGCTCCACGCCAGGTAATAGAGAAGTACAAGGGTTTCTATGACGAAGGGCCACACATGCTGAGGGAGAAGCGTCTGAAACGTCTGGTAGAACTGGGCATCATTCTAGAGAATGTCGAGCCCGCGGAGATGACAGCGGGCGCGAAGCATGAGTGGGAGCAGATGAATGCGGAGGAGCGCGCCACCTCAGCTAGGAAGATGGAGGTTTACGCCGCCATGGTCGACGTCATCGACCAGAGCATCGGGCGCGTAGTCGATCATCTCGATAAGACTGGCGAACTCGACAACACCTTCATCCTGTTTATGTCTGACAACGGGGCCGAGGGATCGAAGCTGGAAGCCGTCCCGCTCATGGGTGGGGAGACGACGATGGGCAAGGTCATTGAGAAGTACTACAACAACAGCTTCGACAACATCGGCATGAGAGATTCCTATGTTTGGTACGGCCCCGCCTGGGCGTGCGCCTCAATGGCGCCGTCGCGCGGCTTCAAGAGCTGGATCACCGAGGGTGGCATTCGCTGCCCCTGCATCGTTCGCTTTCCGCCCGCTGTCAGCCCTACCCTGTCACAAACTGATTCCTTCTGCACCGTCATGGATATCATGCCTACCATTCTAGATCTCTCCGGGGTCCCCTCACCTAGCAGTCCGTTCCATGGTCGGGACATCGTCCCCATGCGGGGCTCATCCTGGGTTCCCCACCTGAGCGGACGGACTGCTTCCTTCCACGACGAGGAAAAGAAGATCACAGGCTGGGAACTATTTGGACTCCGTGCGATCCGTGAGGGACCGTGGAAGGCTATTTACATGAACGCCCCCAGAGGCAGTGACGACTGGGAACTGTATAATGTTACTCGTGATCCGGGCGAGATCCACGATGTCGCCATGACAGAACCAGAAATATTGAAAAGATTGATAAAACACTGGGAAGTTTACTACGCAGAGACGGGTATGTTTGACCCCGGGCAGGATTTCAGGATGGTTAAACATATATGAATAGTCGGGCGGGCACTCGAAACAAGACGCTGAGTGAATAGACTGGATGACCCAGGCATGATGTGGCTCGAATGTATATAGATGGCGCGGTCTTTATGAGACCCAATCTGCGGTCTAGGCCATTTTATGGCGAAGGTTCCAGATCTTTCGTCAAGACGGCCGATTAGGCCAAACTAACAAAAGAGGAGCACTTTTGCTATTGTAGTCGTAGTTGTGATTTTATGTAATTTTTTTTTGTGCACCGTCTTTCATCGGCTTTTTGGCACTATACCTGTTCTCTGCTGTGCCTCATGAACAAGTTTACTGAGTATGACACGCATTCTTGCAATGTCACTTGCTGCAGTTTCCCACTTTTCTAGGATATCAATCGCCATTTGCAGCACGGTGAGCCAGTCATCTGGCGGTTTTAGATCCTCTTGGTTGGCGAAAATGGCCGCCAGAATCAGGAGCGAGCAGGTAAACGTCCTCCGGGAGATGAACCATGTGCCGCCGTGCCGACCCTGCGGAAAGTAGTGATCGATCAGACCCGCGCATATATAAAGGCATTCCGTGGCCAACGCCATCACCTGCGGGTCTACGGGCTCGTCGCCACCATGGTGGAGTGCGAAGTAAAGAAAAGGCCGACGAACAAGCTCGCGCCAACCCTGAAAGCGGCCTTTGAGGAACAACGAAAGTTCATTCTCTGAGTGCCCTTCGGAACTGAATCGTATTACGGATGGCAGATGGTGGTACCTATAAGAACCGTATATGAGCATCAGCAAAGAATCTTGACATCCGTAATATACACAAGAATCTTCAAATCGGAAAGAAGACAGGCTCCAGTGCGCTCCAAATGAACCGTACATATGCAACTGTATCTGAGGGGAACGAGCTGGAGAAAAACGATCAGACCGGACATCTGACACAGAGCCTTACCAGCCTTCAATCTGCTGTTCGCATTCCGTGAATTGGGCGAAAGTCAAGTTTATGTTTTCCGACCAACCGGTATCGGCTTCGGTGTAGAGTACCTTGAGATGCTGGTTCAGGATACGCCTAAAGGAGATATCTGCGGTATAAAAGAACCAGCTTTCTTCCTCCTGTATCTGTCGATGGTTGCTTTCTTTTGAGTCAACTGAACCGCTGGGTGGCGAATGCGGGCCAGTTGCCTTGGCAAGGCTCTGTGGGGGAGATGGGAACGGATAAGGGTACTCGAAGTTCTCAATACCGCTCGCCTGCAATGGCAATTCTGCCGCTAGTTCGCTGGTCAACGTGTTAGCAACGACCGATCAACTAAGTGAAATATGTGCAGCGATGGCTATGAGGACAAACCTTTCCGCCTTCATACATGACCAGAATATCCGTGGCTCCAGATGATCGACCTGTTCCTTGTGCCCCACCCCGCGACGACTCAACAGGTACGTCTGGAGGCGGGAACAGGCATCCTTGATATAGTCCCATGCCTTTATGACGTTCAAGGTGGCCTTTTCGTACATGGAGGCGAGTAGCAAGCATTGAATATCGGTAATGGACGATTGCAAAAAGCCGATCCGCTTCTTAGCCTCTATGTAGTAAGCCTCCGCTATTAGTTCATCTTCTATACCCGCGACGGTTAGTCCGACTTGGCCGGATGCTGCTACACCGTCCAAAGAGCAGGACGAGCCGCAATGGGCTAGAGCAGAAGCGAGGAGCTAGTCAGGGTCAGTCCCCAGCTGTGGTGTGCGGGTATGTACAGCCCATGTCAAAGCTCACCACTAAACAGGTCCTCGCATCCCATCTCAGCCCGTGTGTCATGACATGATGAGCAGATTCCATCAATCTGTCTCCATCGAGAATCGGGTTCCTCCTATGTACAGCGGAGAGGAATGTGTAGCATAGATGGACGTAATTGGCCCCATGAACCTGGTGCTCCTCTGTGAGGTCCTCTGAGGCATCCTCCTGCTCGGAGGTTGAAAGCTGCTGCTGCCCCGACGCCGCGAGGTCGACCATCCCACTTCGGTCAGAGGTGCAATCGAGGAGGAACGACTTGATGTTCGATTCCCTGACCGAAACCACGTCTTCAAATACTGGCCATTGCAGTAGTGTTTCGCATCGAGTCGCTGATAAAGCCGACGCAGGATAGCCCTGCCTCCATAACATGTGACTTGCCGATGTTGAAGCCGAGGCTATTTTGAGATCGACGCCTCGGCGTACTCCAGCGATAGGGTACGTCTGGTCATAGCTAGCAGCGGCGCCAGTAGCACTACCAGCGGCGGTCGGAAGAACCGGGTGGCCGTGGGAGAGAAGCGACTGTATCGCACTAAGACGACTCAAGATCTCCTCGCTAGCGGCATCAAAAGGTATGCTTGCCTCCGACGAGCTCCCATACACGCATCTGGCATTGTGCTGGACGCAGAACCCGCAGGCCGGACGGGCATTATCGCACTTTGTCTTGCGGATCCGGCAGATCTGGCATGCAGTCGCCCCACGTTTCCGGGGATAGCGCGCGACGCTGTCAAGCAGATGTCTCTTGTTCGAAGTCACCTTAGCTGCGTCTCCACTAGATCCTTCCGAGTGTGAGGTGTCCGTAGCCTCGTGTCTGTATGATGGTTCCCAGCTGGAGACGTCGATTGGCTCCGGCCGAACTGCGCTCCCATTGGAGTGGAGAGACATAAGATTACCCTTTTCTATATCCCAGGCGGCAGGACTACCACAAACAATCTTCACCTCGGGTCAGCCTTTGCAGTCGCGTCCCAGGTGTTGGTTAGTGCCCGGCGCTCATGTGTCATGCAGCATCCAGCGGGCGGGGGTCTGGGTTGAAGGGCGGCAGTGGTACTTAACGGCCTTCAGTCAGGCACACGTAATTTATTTCGCTGATGGTGTGCTCAGCCACATTTGACAAGATGAGGAATTGAGGCACTGGCTAGTACCGAACATGTCCAATAGGATCAGTTGTGTCAGAACAAGCTAACGTACTTCACTACCGAGTGGCCCACCCCAAAACACCATAGTTAGTAAATGCGATAAATTACAACTTGATATCTCAACAACGGTAGTCTATATAGAGCTTTCCTTATAGCTAAATACTTTTTAGGTGATATCTAGCTTCTCTAGGGAGTTTAGAAAATATTCATGACTTTATGATTGCGCTATATTTGATTCTAGCTTTCAGTAACGTAATTTTTGATACCGTGATAATATTGTTGTTCGATTCTCTTGAAATTAATATATATCAATAGCTATCGAGTGATAATGAAATCAAATAATAACGTGGTTGTTACTATATGAGGTTGTAAAATATCGCATTTACTATGGTGTTTTGGGGTGGGCCACTCGGTAGTGAAATACGTTAATACAGTACAGCATTTTATGCAATGAGTGGGGATATCTAATGATAAGGGGAACCAATCAGTAGGATTGATAGATAGAATTAAATGATTGTACAGTGGCACCGCAAAAGTCTGTGACCCCCTAGCTGACCGCCCTTTTCTGCCACAGATTCTGCCGCACCAAAGCCTCCAATAAACATGATAAAATCACGTCAATGACCAATATTTGGTCAACCAGCCCTTGTGTAAGGCATATTGTTGTGGTTGATGATCAAAATATTGTATACAACGCGATATGGGACTCCGCTGTATGCGTTGAGAGATTTGGCAGGCTATAATAGAAAGGCGGTGCTACTAGCGGTCAACCAGGGAGGTCACAGACTTTTGCGGTGCCACTGTACTTCGACATACTTCTCTATAGAGTAGTGCAGCCAACTCTAGTAGACTACCGGGTGATTCTGGCCGTTGTGACATGGAGAATTCCACATGTGGATAGAGAATCCGACGCTTACCCTAATTTTCGTATTCGCCGCTAGAGAATTCTTTGACCAAATTCTTGATGAACTTCTCCCTCCCTTGCTCCATTTGTCAATGTGATTTCAGCCACGCACGCATAGACAGTTGCACCAGCCGATGCATCATAAACAAATTTTCTCACTGACAGTTATAAACGAGTAATCCCTGAGCGTGGTGATATCGTCTTCAAAATCGGGGCCGATATCCCGTCACTAAAGTCATCCCAAGTAGACATCTACATAGCCCATCAATGGGGGCCCATCAAAGCCCATCAAAAGCCCATTTCTATACACAAATATAGTCTTGGCATACATAAAGTAGATGATTAATGACTGTATTTTACGCAGGTACCAACCTATATATTTAGTATTATCATATTATCATAGTAAGAAGTAGGAATTAAGTGGATTTTATACTGATTTTAGTATCATGATACTAGATTTCATACAAAATTTCATACAAAATAACCCTAAAAAGATCCAATTTGACTATGAATTCGTACCTAGAAGGAATTACTAAGTATTAGTATAAAGAGATATAACTAAGAAAGTAGTATATTACTAGTAATGGAGTGGTAAGAGAGAAGTTGAAGGTGGTAAGGTAATGAAAGGCATAAGGCAAACATAAATTTTTGGTTAATGCCCAAGGCTAGTGACCCTAGTGAGAGGTCAGGGGGGCCACCCTGGTGTGTAGTCACGGACTGCTGACATCTACTCAGTGAGCCTGAGCCTGAGCACCCTCATAAAAGCGGCGGCAGATCAAATAGGAAAGCCCCATACGCCAGGGAAAATCCGGTACGTATAGTTATATATGTAATAAACAAAAGAAATGAATTAAGTTGTCATTGGAAATGCTTAGCCGTTGTTTCAAGGCTTATCTCTTGCAGCGCCCCACACATGTCGAAAATTCTTATCCTCGCAATTTTCCCTTTTGTTTTCTTTTCTCCCCATCTCATAGAGACTCCCTTTTCTCAGTAAAATGTCTCCAGCATGACTGGCTTGCTAGGTCGGTTTTTAATCAGATTCCGATTTTGAATTTAGCAATGGAAGAGGACCTACTACTCAATGGCACCGAGCGCATTTGCGTCGACGGGGAGGTCGCATTAATTCCCACACCCACCAATTCTCCAAATGATCCATTGAACTGGAGCATCTGGAGACGGTACTGGCATTCGCTTTTGGTCCTTGTATTTGTTGCCCTAACCGCCGCAACCGCTAATGATGCCAGCAGCGCTGGAAATGGCATGAACGCTGAACTGGGTATCACGTGGGACCAGATCAACATTGCCGCAGGCGTCTTGTTTGTCGCCATTGGATATACCACATTGCTACTCGGCCCAGCACCTTTCTTATATGGAAGACGTATCTCCTATCTGATTTGTCTGGTGTTTTCCGTCGTTGGCTCCATCGGGCTAGCCCGCACACAGAATGTCGGAGATAACATCTGGAGCCAATTTTTCGTGGGCGCCTCCGAATCATGTGCCGAGGCGCTTGCCCAGCTGTCTCTTTCTGATCTGTTCTTTCAGCATCAAAGAGGTCTGGTACTGGGATTATACGTTCTTGCCACCAGTATCGGTACATTCATGGGACCCATGGTGTCCAGCTTTATCGTCGACTCTCCCCTGGGATGGAGATGGGTGGGCTGGCTTGCTGTCATTATATCCGGGGGCTTGATCGTTATCTTTTACTTCACATTGGAGGAAACATCTTTCGATCGGAACAACCCTATTCACGGACATGATGCATCTCCTAGTAATACTGAACGCACGTCGAATGACGTCGCGCTGAATAAAAAGGAGGGACCCATTGCGAGTGTGCAGCCGACACCCTCCGACCGTGAACTCGATGAAGAATGCGGCCAGGAAAAAGGAAAGACGTATTTCCAGCGCATCGCCCTGATCACCCCATCGCCAACCCTGGTCGGGACGGGCTTCAAACAGTATGGCCGTCGCCTGTTGCACACACTACGCATCTTCACCTTCCCGGCAGTCCTCTACTCGGGCCTTCAATGGGGTGCCCAAGATGCCTGGCTGACATTCTACCTCACCGTTGAAACGGACAATTGGTATGAGGCTCCCTGGAACTACACCGATGCCGCAGTGGGTATCATGAATGTGCCAACCCTGATCGGGTCGGTCCTCGGCTGCATTTACGGCGGATGGTTCTCCGACTTCTTTGTGATGTGGATGGCCAAGCGAAACAAGGGCATCTTCGAGGCTGAGCAGCGTCTCTGGCTCCTGTTACCTGTTGCGTTTATCGGCCCTGCTGGCCTCATGCTATTCGGGATCGGCTCGGATAAAGGCTGGGACTGGCATATGCCATATCTTGGACTGGGTTTCATTGGTTTCGGCTGGGGTTGTGCAGGCGATCTTAGCATGGCGTATCTCATGGATGCGTACCCGGACATGGTGCTGGAGGGCATGGTCGGTGTCTCGGTCATCAACAACACTATTGGTTGTCTTTTCACATTCACCGCCCAGAATTGGTTGGATGCGCAGAGTCTTGCCCGGGTTTTCATTGCGATTGGCGTTCTGAGCTTCTGCTTTATTATGACCACTGTCCCGATGATCTACTGGGGCAAGAAGTGTCGGAAGATGACTCGGAAACAGTACGAAGCTTTCCTGCTGCTTCGTGATGGACCTTCTTAATTAAGGGTTTGTCTGGCTCGCCATTGTCCTTATATATTCCTTTGTTCATTTTGTCAACATAATTTGCAATAATCTGTGTGTTTGGGGGCTCTGGTGAAATAAGAAGGCTCCGTCTGCTCTGACTTGAATATACCATTTCTGTTTGAACCCGCACCAGCTAACCGTTCTACTTCACGCTTGCGGGTCATCTTGCAGTGATTTGGCAGTAGAAGAGAGAGAAAAGAACTCAGGAATAACAGAGGAATATTGTCATTTAAGACATCGATATCAATCGAGCACGAACCATCTTGGTGGCCAAATCACCCTTGATAGGTCATGTCTACGAATAATTTGGAAACGCAACTCAGACATGGCGTAATTAGAACACTTATAATGCCCCACATATAAAATTATCACTCAGGCCCTCATAATTTATCTGCAAGATAGTACTATTGTACTTCAGATCAACCCAATGTGCGTGCATAGGTCGTTCGTCAGCACTTCAATCTAGCCGGAATGCAATCGAAATATATCCAACATTTATCATATTCCAAACAAGAAATAATTGAGTAAAGAAATATCGACTAAAACCAAGATGCCAGTGTCGGAAGAATTATTACCAGGCGTACGTAGTCCTCCCGCTAATTCCCAACCATCTGGGGCCAACTACGCAAGCTGCCCCGTCATCTTCTATCCAAGCTTTCTTCAGGTGGGTCGCTAATTGATTTCAAGCCACAACTAATACATCCTGATATTCTACACATCTACAAGGTACATGTCTTGCAAGCCTGCTCCACTATGGTACCTATTCACAGAACCAATCGTTATCCCCCACTATGGTGGCTGGATACATCTGCGTCGCGGTCGATGTGATGTCCCAAGGTTGGATATATTGGCGCAGATCTAAGAATAAATAACGAACCGATGTTCATATAACTGTTATTCTCGCTTGTTTACTGAAGCTAAATCCCACCGCTTATAATTCCTGGGGATTCGCCCACTTTTCTCAATTCTTGTCGATCGTTCTGTGCATCCATTACTTGACTCGCTCACTCTACGGCTCTACAAACTCCAATATGGTTTTCAAGTCTTACTACCAGTGGGCTACTCTCGCCCTGGCTGCGACTGCTGCTGCACAGACTACCACCAGCTGCAACCCTACGAAGAGTATGTACTATCTTATCTTATTCGCCGCAGTGCTC